CATGAGTGCCATCTATTATTGCCTTGTTTATCTAAAAGTGCTCTTTCCCTTTAACCTAGCCAAAAAGCCATATGTTGACTGTGAAACACAGTAGACTTTAATAATATGCATTTATGGTGTAATTACAACATTTTCGTGTCAATCCATGTCCAAATTTACTGCAAACAATGCACTGTTACTTTAATTCAGCGCTTGCAGTGCAGCAAAAATAAACTTGGTGCGGAAACGATCGCTGCACTGCTGCAGACGCACCACTCGTGGAACGCACTGCCGTACACCAACCGTGTGCACGCTTTATTAATCCGTTAACATTATGTGCGGAAAAAATACGCACCACGTATGCACTGTAAACGGAGTATGTGTGAACCTGACATTATGTGTGTGCGCTGCGAATGGGCATGAGCGCATGGTCTCTAGGAGAGCGCTGAATGGTTTAAACACTGGCAAGAATTAAAAAGTAATGCAGTTTATAAACTTTAGTGACGATGTGACACTGCCTCGATTGTGCAAGTGACAATTCCTGTGTCAACTGTGCAGCGTGCAGCTCGCTTATAGACAGACGCGATGTAGTGATTTGAAGCCATTTACATATTTTCAGAGAAAGAAAGAGCGCGCGCGGTGATTCACTGTTTGTGAAATTACGTCGGTCTCATACAAGGTTTTCAAATTACTTTATAAGTTATGCAACTGCGTGCATTGTGAACGCTTTATTAATCCGTTAACATGAGCGCGGGAAAAATACACACCACATATGCACTGCAAACGGAGTAATGTGAACCTGGCATTATGTGTGTGCGCTGCGAGTGCGAGTGTGCATGAGCGCACGGTCTCCAGGAGAGCGCGCGAGCGCTGAATGGTTAAACACTGGCAAGAATTAAAAAGTAATGCAGTTTATAAACTTTAGTGATGATGTGACACTGCCTCGATTGTGCAAGTGACAATTCCTGTGTCAACTGTGCAGCGTGCAGCTCGCTTATAGACAGACGCGATGTAGTGATTTGAAGCCATTTACATATTTTCAGAGAAAGAAAGAGCGCGCGCGGTGATTCACTGTTTGTGAAATTACGTCGGTCTCATACAAGGTTTTCAAATTACTTTATAAGTTATTTAATGAAGAAATTAAATATTATAATTATTTCACCCACGCCGGACAGGGACTGAGACGGTGCCGCTGCATGTCGTGCCAAACAGCATCATCAGCTTGAGATCGGTTTTTCGAGATCGGCCTTTTTAGAGACCGCCGATCAAACATCCCAACGTGATTATCGGCCGATAGTGATCGGTAGCCGATCAATCGGAGCACCCCTAATAATAAACATAACCGAATGACGGCACTTATTAACATAACAGTCTGTCGAATAGCATACATCAACTGCTCATAAGACTAGGACATTTCCATTTCAAAAAATAGAATCACTAAAGGGAATAGATACGAGATGGGAGGAAAAATATACTTCAATATCTTCTGTCGCAATTATATCGTTGGGTAATTACACTGTATATAAACTGCAGGGCATTGAAATCGCTTATGAATGCGCGCTTGTTTTTTACTTTCACTTTCGAGATTCGCGATCACACGTACGGAGCAGCACTCGACAGTACTTACCACACAGTTTACAAGATTAGATGTTTGTCAGTGGTTCTCAGGATCTGCAAATCATTCGCCATCATCCTATCAGTCATCTCTCCTTACTCTGTTTATGTGGTAAGTGAAATGTTATGTACTGTAATGTAACAGGCTACCGTTAGCAAGCGGCTAACCATGTCCCTTTAGTGGCTCCATAGAACGCATTATTTTTTTCCGCGCCTTTCTGAATACGGATTTAGCCACACCTCTAACCCAGTCGGGGGTGTTTGTGGTCCGCACAGCGCTCTTATTTGACATCGTCCCAGGTTACTGTAACCGTTATATGCTATGCAAGTCTTTTTTTATGCCACGCAAGTCTACAGTGTGCGCGTGAAACAATGTGTTCTTCTGTTGTCTTTGACAGCTTTTAGGTGCGTTATTGGCAGCGCCACCACCGCATCAGCACGGAAAACATGGGGAATTTTTTTAAAGGGGTCATATGATGTTTTCACATTATTTTGTGTATTTGGTGTAATGAAATGTGTTTATGTGGTTTAAGGTTCAAAAAACACATTTTCCACATACTGTACATTATTGTTTCTCCTCTATGCTCGAAAATCGTGACCCATCCCTTAAATGTAGTTGGAAAAAAAAAAAATCTTCCAGCATAATCTTGGTTAAAGCAAGTAGATTTAATGCTATTTCAGGTTAATTTCTACCCTGCACATTCCTCACATGCACACAGCACTTACTGCAGGGCTATTGAGGCCACACACCCTACATGCACTGTGCATTTCTCCATAACATGCACAGATCATTTCTTGAATCCTGCACACAAAATATTGTCAAAATGTCCATCTTGTTGCGTATTCACATGAATTACATAAATATTACATACATTTATGTTTAAAACTTTCTCGTGCTGTGTGTAAGCTATTGCACAACAAAATTATACTATTGTAAAAACAAATACACTGACTGAGCAAACATTTGATGATGTTTGAGGTGAGGAGATAAAAAAAATGGTCTAAAAATGACCCTCCCCCCCCACACAATAACCCCTAGTCACCTAAAGGGGGAATCCCCCCCCATTTTTTTTTTTAAATTTGCATTAGTTTGCATGCATGTCAGCTTATGACCAAACAAAATGTTTATATTTAAGTTTGTATATGATACGGTTTCTAAAAAATTCTCCAAATTTCCAATGAATTCCCATAAATTCCTGTAAAGTACCCAATTTGGAATATTTCCCAAATTCCCTAGATTATGTTACCATGGAAAGTTTCCGGAAATAAAACAGAACTTTTCCACCCCTTTGCAACCCTAATTACAAAAGTAATATTTCTGTCTTAGAAATATTATTATTATTATTATTATTATTATTATTATTAAGTCCCCCTCAGAATCTCAGACAGCAGAGATTCAGTCGGTAAGAAAATACTTTGACTATGGTATATGTACTTTGACTATATGCATGTGTGTATACATAAAATAAAAATGTACTATAATAGCTTTGCATTACCATATTATATTTCTATTCCAGTTTGTTGTTTAAATATAAACATGTAAACAGTGGATGTCATATCTTTTTTCATGATTCATTTATTCAAACCTACATTAAATATTTAAGAACATGTTAAATGCAACTTTCTAGGGTTTATTTTACAAGCTGATCATCAAGTTTATGGACACTGAATGTCTTTCCTGAGGTAAATGTGATGTTGCATGACACACTGCTCACAAGCTGTTTCACTGACGTCTTTCCACGACTGAAACACTGATTGAGCAATTACATGAAACCCGAGACATTTCAGTGAGTAAGTTGTACTGCTTCCTTCAGCAGACCTTCTGATGCTCATTCATGTTCATTTCTTGCAGTAACTGGTAGTAGTAGTAGTTATTATTATTGCCAAGTCAGTTACATAAAAATAAAAACCAAGCAAACACAAAAAAATACGTGTAGTAACTGGTAGTAAAGAGGACTGTTGAGGATCGCTTGTACTGAGGCACAGAAATTTGTCACGCTATGCTGAAAAGCACCACAACAGTATTTACCTTTTGAATTTTAAAATAAAACTACCAGAATTTAAAAGCTATCAGAAGCAACAAAGCTTACTGTAGGGCTGGGTATCGTTCAAAAATTTTCGATACCGATACCGATACCGATACCTTGACTTCGATACCGGTTCCTGAGCGATACTTTTTTCGATACCAATTTTATGAAATCTATTTAAACAAGATTACATTAAGGAACGTTTTCATTTTAAAACAGAAGCGCACCAGTGTAAAAGTAGCCTTACAGCTACGGGGGCTGGGACGCATTCACACTAAATACTAAAAAGTATCGAACTCGATACCCAGCACTAGCTTACTGCGATTTATTAGATGGGATGTGTGCTACAAATTATGTTTTATTAAGTTTTGTTCATCAACTGAAAACAGCACAGATTGAATCTTGGGATTTAGGAATTGGTATCGGTTCATCAAAATGAGAATTGATTCAAATATTTCATCCCAGGCCTACAAGGTAGTGTGTCAACTTATACTTTCGTGACAAGTTAACAACATTACCCAGGGTGCATCTCATGAGGTTGGCTGAGAGAAGCCCATAGTGCAGAGCTGGACTCTTTATTCTGTCTATAAAGAATAAGAGTGATCGAACTCTTTCCATATCATTTACATTTGCACAGCTTTTCTCTGTTTCCATGTTTTCTTTGACACAAACAAAACAGGCATCGTGACCCAGAATGAGCCTTAATTACAGCTTGCAGTTCTATGGTTTAATTACGGGTTTAATGGCTAACAACCTTGACTATTCCCATCATAAAAAATCTTCCCAACTCCTGACTCTGTGTTTCCACTGACTGGCCCATTACAAAAGGACTCCAGCCAGAGTGCAAACACTAGCACTTTGCTTTTCTTCAACAGAGAGCACAGACAGCCAAGAGAACCAGAACACACACAAAAGATGTTATTGCGTGTGGAACATCACCATGACCACCACAAATTGAAACTAGTCATGAAGATACACTTTAATATTGCATGTTTTACATTTGATTAAGAAAATATAAGTGCAACTTGGCCACACAACATTTGCCAGTGTTGCAGCTATGGTATTATGGGTGGTATCTTATTGGGCCAAGTCAAAAAAGCCCACCCTTAAGTCTAGATAAGACTCTATGCCTTAACTTTGTTGTCCATTTTATCATTGACCAGTTAAAAGCCTGATCAGTCCGCCCCAAAAAAGTAATAACACACCATTGTTCATGCTTTCCCCCATCATTAAAGGGTTAGTTCACCCTTTATCCCTTTTATGCCCAAAGTTAAGAAACCCAAGACTTCAAGGAGTTCTTTCGAAGAGCATTTCCAGTTCAATGTCATTCAGTGGTTGTTGTATAGACAAGGAGTAATTGCTTGTTGTGTTTGGACATACCGACATAATGCAGGTACAGGGCAATATATTTGTACTGGAAGAGAGGGTTATTGTTGAGACTGCTCCTCTGGATCTTCTGGAAGAAGGAGCTGACGTCCCAGCGGTACAGCACATCCAGCAGCATGATGCTGGGGATCCGAAGACCCACGTTCAGCACCGCCTCCACACGCGCCTTCATCGCTATGACCAGCAGGGCACCGAAAAGGCTTCAACCTCAACTGAGAGAGAGAAACATGATTTCAAGCAGAGAATAACAGAGCAGTCCTATTGAAATGACACTTAGCTTTGTAGCCTTTGAGGAAATAAATCATGAGACACACTCAGACAAGATAAGTTTATATTTCAACTTGTCAAATTTGACAAAATAAAATTAATAAGCATAATAATAATAAAGTGCATACATACATAGACTTATATATACACTGCCATTCAAAAGTTTGGGATCAGTAAGATTCACAATGTTTTTTGTTTTTTTTAAAGATGTCTCTTCTGCTCATCATGGCTGCATTTATTTGATCAGAAATACAGAAAAAAACTGTAATATTGTGAAATATTATTACAAATTAAAATAATGGTTTTCTATATAAATATACTTTAAAATATGCAAAGCTGAATTTTCAGCATCATTACTCCAGTCTTCAGTGTCACATGATCCTTCAGAAATCATTCTAATATGCTGATTTATTATCAATATTGGAAACAGTTTTGCTGCTTAATATTTTTTTTGGGAACCTGTGATACTTTTTTCAGGATCCTTTGATTAATAAAAAGTTAAAAAGAACAGCATTTATTCAAAATAGAAATATTTTGTAACAATATACACAAGTTTGGGGTTAGTATTTTTTTTTCTTTCTTTTGAAATTAATTATTTTATTCAGCAAGGTTGTTAAATTGATAAAAAGTGATAATAAAGACTTATACTGTTGGAAAAGATTACTGCCTTAGAACTTTTAGTTGAGTACACATTTTATATACAAGTTTTTTGTTGAGTATTTGAAATGTTTATTTGCTAAAAATACAAATAAAACAAATAATACTACAAAAATATGATATTATCGCCAAACAAAATCATAATACATCTCTAAAACCATAATAACACTCTTATCTTTACGAAACCATGAGAATACGAAGGTACTTTTCGGAAGTATAAGAACGACACACCTACTTCTCTTATTACCACCGGACGGAAAAAAACACTACACTTACATAACCATACTGCTTTCTTCAACAATACAGTCAAATAATTGTGCTGTGACGAGAATATAGTGCTGTTTCTCATATTTAAACTCACGTGGATAAGTTATGGTCATGCTTGTCGTGTTAAACGTGTTTGAACTCTAGTAACCCCGACACATCAACAGTCACACAGTAAAAAAAAAACAGGACGACTGAGAAAAATTGAAAATATAAACCTTTTACAGACATAAATATTACAACGTTAGGACGACAGAACACACGTTTAAACGCGAACCAGAACAATAACGGTTGACTTTCATTGGCTGTGAGGAGTTTGTGCTGACTAAAGGATATCGTCTTAATGCTAATAATCCATTAAAGTTTATATTTAACTGCTTTAGAGGTCTTAAAACACTAACGAATAATGTTTTTGAGGTAAATGTGATAAATACGTAGAGTTCAATTATTTGTATCTGCCCAGCTAACAGTGGCATTACAGAACTGTGTCCGTTATTCCCTTACAAACGCTTCGATAATTATAATAAAAATAGACTTACATATTGGTTAATCACTTCACACTGTTAGATTTCGTCTTAGGGTGAATATAAACCATTTTTAACTCAGACGTCTCAACGTTATGGTCAAATTGAAAGCAGAAGAGACAGAGCAACTAAATTCACTTACTCCATCAGGCAGCCATTACGCACACCGTTTGAGTGTGCACTGCGCATGCGCAATTTTTGAATACCGGAGATTGGCCGCTAGATAGCGCTTGTCTCACATAAATTCTACTATGGCGAAGGCTTGGTTATAATGAATGAATGGTTTTATTGACAAATGAAGTAGAAATGAGACACGTAGTTACTAAGGAGAGAGTGGATGGGTTCGAGGAACGAATTCGGATCTGAGTCTTTCGCGGAAGCTTCAAGGTGAATGCAGAGTACCCAGTTCCACCTCTATGGATTAGACTAGGTCATGAATATTAATTAATCATGTTGACGTTCTACGTAATCTTTCTGAAGCGTTGTGACGTATTTAAAACTCATGAGCCAAATATTCGTAAATTTGCTTTCTCAACATATAGCATAGAAGGTGACAAGTAAATAGTGTAGTGTTCTCTTATGTGTTTTAGACTCTGCTTTTATACTTAATGCAGGACCATTACATATAGTCAGACATTTACATTACATTTACGTTTAGTCATTTAGCAGACGCTTTTATCCAAAGCGACTTACAAATGAGGACAATGGAAGCAATCAAAATCGACAAAAGAGCAATGATATACAAGTGCTATAACAAGTCTCAGTTAGCTTAACGTAGTACACGTAGCAAGGGTTTTTGTGTCCGTAACGCTTCGATAAACGCTTCGATAATTATAATAAAAATAGACTTACATATTGGTTAATCACTTCACACTGTTAGATTTCGTCTTAGGGTGAATATAAACCATTTTTAACTCAGACGTCTCAACGTTATGGTCAAATTGAAAGCAGAAGAGACGGAGCAACTAAATTCACTTACTCCATCAGGCAGCCATTACGCACACCGTTTGAGTGTGCACTGCGCATGCGCAATTTTTGAATACCGGAGATTGGCCGCTAGATAGCGCTTGTCTCACATAAATTCTACTATGGCGAAGGCTTGGTTATAATGAATGAATGGTTTTATTGACAAATGAAGTAGAAATGAGACACGTAGTTACTAAGGAGAGAGTGGATGGGTTCGAGGAACGAATTCGGATCTGAGTCTTTCGCGGAAGCTTCAAGGTGAATGCAGAGTACCCAGTTCCACCTCTATGGATTAGACTAGGTCATGAATATTAATTAATCATGTTGACGTTCTACGTAATCTTTCTGAAGCGTTGTGACGTATTTAAAACTCATGAGCCAAATATTCGTAAATTTGCTTTCTCAACATATAGCATAGAAGGTGACAAGTAAATAGTGTAGTGTTCTCTTATGTGTTTTAGACTCTGCTTTTATACTTAATGCAGGACCATTACATATAGTCAGACATTTACATTACATTTACGTTTAGTCATTTAGCAGACGCTTTTATCCAAAGCGACTTACAAATGAGGACAATGGAAGCAATCAAAATCGACAAAAGAGCAATGATATACAAGTGCTATAACAAGTCTCAGTTAGCTTAACGTAGTACACGTAGCAAGGGTTTTTTAAATAATATAATAAATAAAAAGAAAACAGATAGAATAGAAAAAGAATAGAGCAAGCTAGTGTTAGAGGTCTTTTTTGCTTTTATTAATTGTATAATAAATGAAAAGAAAACAGATAGATTACAAAAAGATTAGGAAGCAAGCGTTAGTTAGTTTTTTTTTTTTTAAGAAAACAAGCAGCAAATTATTAGAGTGCAAGTCTAAAAGGGACAAGTGTTTTTTTTTTTTTTTATCAGACATCACACATATGTGGTTTATCGAGGCCAAATATGTTGTGAATATAAATAGGAAGGTGAATTAATAGGTGTGAATATGAAGTTCTCAAGTCACCCACAGTAACGTCTCACGAATGTTTATATATTGTTCTGACGCCGAAGAACCTATAGATGGCACTCGCACACTGTACACTGTTTCAAACAAGACACATTGTTTAATAAATGTAAAGTATTATTAGTATATTTGTGATAAACTGTATTATTCGATATCTACTATAACTTAATATTGATGTAATATACCGCCGTAATTTGTTGTCCATTATGTTTTAAGATCTACTAGCAATACTTGAAGGAAATTTAAGATTCGTTTCTCATTCAAAATTCGTAAACTATTTTACGTGTCATATAAATAAGAAGGCAGTACGTTTAAGCATACTAATATAACTGATTAAAGCCAAATAAGAAATTAAAAGTACAATAGTATGGTGTCGTTAGTCCTCTGTATTTAATTTAAACGTTTTAATCTAAACTGTCTCAACGTAACGACATACAGGACGCGTTATTGCGTGCGTTCCGTCTGCGCTAATTGTCGCTCTATGTACACATAACATCAAATATTTGACTGTTCCGTCGCGTTTAGCTGTTTTTTTCCCCTCAGAGTTGCGTTGTTATAGACGTCCTGTCAAGTTATTCCATAAAAAACAGCCGAAGAACGCGTCTCTGCGCCACCCTGTTGCGCTCTTGCGAACGCGTCTAGCGTGAACGCCCCCTGAGAGAGAGATGCGTTTGTGTGATCGCTGCCATGTTCACTCTAGTGCACTTGTTACGCGGATGTTGAGGAAGTGGTGGTTAGTGGCACTTGGATGAGTATCATCCGCTCTTGATTTTGCGCCGTGAGAAAACGAGTCAAATGCCGCGCTGCTATGGACGCGATCGGCGTATCGCACACGGATCCGCTCGATGACTATGAGCTGATACACCGCATAGGCAGCGGGACATATGGAGATGTGTTTAAGGTAGGAAAACGACAGAAAGTCTCTTAGAAAAACGATTTCCTTGAACATTTAGTGCAAGTAAAGCTCTTAGGCACTTGTGTTTGTGCGAGTGATGATGCAAAAATACTATAACCAAAGTTTCCGTCCCAAAACCACAGTTACTTCAGTATAAGAGGCTTTCTGATATTGTCTGTATTGGTAAAAGGGATGAGTTGTTGTTATAATCATGCCTTGCTGCAAGCTCTGTGTTTTGGGACATAGTAGCTGGTTTGCTGTTGGTCCAAATGGTCTATCAGCAAAAACACTTTCCAGCATTTGTTATAGTATATTGTATCTTTGTTATATTTGCAACAGTGTTGATTATGCTTCAGACTTGAATATTATATCCTACTTTGTAACATATTATGCATTTGCATTAACATGTTGTAGGAACTAGTATGAATGATGTGTGTACTGTCTGACCATGTTACTCCACTATGACTTCAATTTTCACACCCCATTGACTTGGATGTTCAGTAACGCCCATGTGGCTCTGGCATGTTTAACAGCCTAAAACCATGCGATTGTGCATGTATGCACCTTCCTCATAGAAAAAGTAACCAGGATACTAAACATGAATTTTCCTTGCAAATGGAATTTGTTCCTTTGAATGAACTGAACTGGTCATGGTGGCGTACCGTGCAACAGAAATAACAGGGCGTGAAAAACATATTTTTGCATACAAGGAAGCAAATAATAAAAAGATTCGCAAACACCGTATGCACATTTTGTCTCTTCGAAATGTTTGTGTAGAGTATCTGACGGTGACCTTGTCTGCCCTAATTGGGTGGATTGTCCATTTATATCACCCTGCCTGAACAAACATGAATCATGTCCTTGATAACGGAGAAAGACACATTACAGGATGTGATTTGGTTCAGCAGGAAAGAAAACAGGAAATGAGCACTGCTACGTTTTTTTCATCTCTACTTCACCTTTCCAGTGTCTGTTGATCCACTATTGGCTGCTGGTTACCATGGTTACAGGCAGACAGCTTCATTTTTCTGTCTTGCGTAGACCACAGAGGCACACAATGTGGTTCGTATGATGGTTTTCAGTGAAGGCAAACGGTTTTTTTCTTGCTGTTGTCGCACTTTTTAAGGGAAATCCTTGTGATACAATCACAGTTCTTTCGCTGTTAAAGGGGTCATATGATGCGATTTCAATTTTTCCTTTCTCTTTGGAGTGTTACAAGCTCTTGGTGCATAAAGAAGATCTGTAAAGTTGCAAAGACTAAAGTCTCAAATCCAAAGAGATATTCTTTATAAAAGTTAAGAGTCAGCCACGCCTACCTAAAACGGCTCGTTCTAACACACCCCACATGTCTACGTCACGATGTGCGAAGATTTGCATAACACCGCCGAAATGTTCACGCAAAGAAAGAAGGAAAATAATGTTCTTTTTAGCAACATCACATGACCCCTTTAATATAGTATAAAGCCATTGAAAGGTATAACTGAAACCCGTCAGACTTGAAAGAGGTAGTGTGTATTTGTGAATGTATTAAAATACTTTTTTGTGATCCAATACAACCGCAAAAACAATGCAGAAACTTGAAGCACTGGAACTTGAAAGTGACGTGACAATACATTTTGTGGTGGCTTGATACAAGCGATCTTTCAAAAGAACCAGGAGGAAATTTTTCATTAACTGACTGATGCAAAGGTCTGATGTCAACATGTATTGCTTATTTGCTATTAAATTAATCTGCATAAACCACCAATTTGTTTCTCTGTCCTTATAGGCCCGTAGCATTAAGACTTCAGTCATCGCAGCTATTAAAGTGGTCAAACTGGACCCTGGTAAGGTCATAAACCATTTTTAATCAAATGTTCTTATTTGCATTTTACTGATATGATGCACACTATGTATTGATCTTTTCAGTAGATGTGGTTAGAATCGGAATTCAGAATCAGAATTAGCTTTATTCGCCAAGGAAGTTAGTGTTATGTAAAGAGGCTAAAGTTAAGTCATATATCTCATAATTGAATTTTATGAGATGTAAACAAGGTTGATATTAAAATATGTTCTATGCAATATTTAGTCAAAATCTTTCTTTATCTAGCAACTTTTGCCATGTTACCGTGGGTCACTAATTATGTAAAAATTATATGTTACAGTAGTTCTTTGCTGTCTGAGCTTCCGAACTTCGACATATATTTAGATTTTAAAACTGAAAATGATTGAGAAAGGCTTGTGGTTGCAACTTTTATGTATTTTGAATATATTCAAAGATACCCAGAATATCATATTTTATGCTGTAAATTCAGTTTGATGCTGAATTCTTCACTGCAGCATCTGAATTTCAGCTCAGTCATTTAATCCCTGTAAATCCTGCTGTTATGTTGAGGAGAAGCAGAATCAGACAAGATTACAGACGAGACCCCTGTTTCTTTTTCTGTCAGGTGATGACATTTCAAGCATTCAACATGAGATAACCATGATGAAAGATTGCACTCACAAAAACATTGTGGCCTATTTCGGTAGCTACCTCAGGTCAGTCACGCAAGAAACTAATATTGCAGTTTGCAGAAAACTGAGCTAAAACTAACAACAAACTTCTTCATATTGCACAGAAATAACAAGTTATGGATCTGCATGGAATTCTGTGGAGGAGGATCATTGCAGGATATTTACCATGGTACAATTCTAAGATTGACATTTATAATAATTAATATGATACATTATTGCATATAATTTCAGTTATTGTACATAGATGTTATAGGTCATTATTGACCCTGCAAGTAGGTAGCCAATTATTATATAGCAATATTTTTTTTTGTTTTAACAATTGATTGGATAAAAAAAGCTGAGGTTGTGATGTTTAATTGTTTCAAAAGCAAGCCCTCCTATATGTTGTTTCCGTAAGAAGGGTGATGCAGATTAACATGGTTTCTGTTGTTATTTATATTGGCTGATTAATGCACATATGGTATTTTGTGAGTCTAAATGAGGTCATTGTGTTTCTGCAGTCACTGGTCCTCTGAAAGAGAGACAAATAGCTTATGTGAGCAGAGAAACACTTCAGGTGAGAATGCTTTCACATCTTACATAATGTTTCTATCACTTAATGCTGAGTTCACACTGCACGATTTTCAAAGACGTCGCATCACTG